AAATCCCCATATCTTAAAAAAACTTTTAAAGGGGCCTTTAAAAAGCCCGATCACCACCCCTCTAGAAACCCCTCAGTTAAAATAACCCAGGGGAAAATGGGTTTTGAACCCGGGCGCTCCCGCTGTCTCAACTATTGGGTCACTATGACAAAAGGGCCTAAATGCCTTTGAAGCCCAAAAAGAATGCAGATGTTTAAAATAATTTTCCTCACTAAAAAGAACCAGAGAGTAGTCGTCAACAGAGTTTTAAAATCCCCAGGGACTACGGTGAAAAGCCCTGTTTCCCCCAAGGCACAGTACTCGCTCCCTTTTTGTTCATCCCCATATCCGACATAGCCCAAAGGGTGTCAGCCCCAGCCCCCGGGCTTTCCCTTTTCAGAGCACCCCAATTTGCATGACCCGGGGGTCCCTTCCCTTGAGACATGCAAACTCCCCGGGGACATCAACCAAAAACTTTCAGGGGCTGCAGGGAAAAAAATATGAAAATTCAACGATGAGAAATTTCAAATTTCTTTATTTGGTAAAAATAGGAAATTTAAAAACTTCATCCGAGTACAAAAACCCCCTTCTGGCCACAAATAGAGCGAAACACCCAAAGTCAAAAAACCTGGGGGTGGGCATGTCGGAGGATCTCACCTTCAAGGGCCATAACATTGTATCAATCGCATCTGCTAGAAAAAAAGACAGGGGGGATTTAAAGAGAACCCTTTAAAACTAGGGGAGGCCAAGCCCATGATGACACTCTTTTAGGGCACTTGTTTTTATCTAGGCTTGGGAAAATTTCCCGCCACTAACAGCAACCCTTTTTAAAAGGTGAAATTGCTGACCTAGAAAATGTTCCGGAACTTTCACGGCGCGCCCTAAAGGAGATAAAACACCTCAAAATTTTTGGGGGCGCTTGAGGTTCCCAAAACCCGTATTCCCCGGAAGCCCGGAGGGGGAGATACAAGATTATATACACCTGGGAAAAACCCAGGGGGGCAGTACCAAACTTTTCACACAAAAAACACTCACTTCGAAAAACAAAAGATTTTGGGAGGCCCAGCACCTTTCCCCCCAAAGAAAAGCAGGGGGGTCCCCAGCACGGTTTAAAAGACCATACAATAAAATTGTCCCGGGGCCCAGACTGTTAACTGCCCCCCACACACATAAGGGGGGGTAAACCAAAATACCCCCGGCGTCTTTAAGTGGGACTGGACCCAAAACCCCAAAGTCGTTTTCCCGGGTCAGCCCGGGGTGTGTTTGAAAGTTGGTTTGCGTGCAGCCGCAGCAACAGCCTGGTTTTATCAGGCTCTGATCCACCAGGGGCCCGGTCACAGGGCCCGGGCCGGGGGGCGTTGCCCCCCGGAAAATCTCTCCAAGGGAAACTCCGGGGGTTCCCGTTTTAAAACCGAGAGAAAAAAAATTATTTAAAAACGAGCACATTTCATTCTCTTTGTCAGTAAGATGCCCATAGTTATTTCTAAGGGGACCTATCTTATCTCTAACTTTTGTTTCTATATACTGGAAAAAACTTTTTGGGTTAGTTTTAGAAACCCTAGCAACTTTAATTTCATACTCCCTTTTAACTTTTCTTATCCCCTTTTTAATGTCCCTCTTAATGTCAATATACTGATTCATAAGATGGCCCTCACCTCTTTTGATACGCCTATAAATTCCTTTCATATGCCCTAGTAGATATTTCAGCCTATTATTCATCCATTTTGGGTCATTTCTATTTGATCTAATTTCTTTATACGGGATAAACGTTCTTTGAGCAGCATGTATAGTGTTCAGAAAACTGTCATATTGATAGCTCTCTTCGTTACCCCAGTCAACAGATGATAAGTGTTCTCTAAGCCCATCGTAATCTGCTAAGCGAAAATCTGGGACTGTTACTGAGTTATCCCTACTATCATACTTCCATTCAATGCTAAATGTGGTCGCTAGCACCCAGTTCCTCTGAAATTTCTAAATTATTAGCAAGGGATTCATTGTTTGACAGAACTAAGTCAAGCAAGATAAGATAAGATAAGATTTCGTTCGGATTTTTAACCCCGGAGGGTTAGCCACCCAGGATAACCCAAGAAAGTCAGTGCGTCATCGAGGACTGTCTAACTTATTTCCATTGGGGTCCTTAATCTTGTCCCCCAGGATGCGACCCACACCAGTCGACTAACACCCAGGTACCTATTTGCTGCTAGGTGAACAGGACAATAGGTGTAAGGAAACGTGTCGGAATTTCCACCCGCCGGGAATCGAACCCGGGCCCTCCGTGTGTGAAGCGGGAGCTTTAGCCACCAGACCACTTGTAGGTTCTGTCACAAACTGCTTCAAAAAACAATCCTGAACTACTTCTAAGAAGCCGTATGATTCTAAATTCCCAGTCAAGAAATTCCAATCAATATGACTAAAGTTAAAGTCTCCTAGAATTACTACATTATAGTGCCTTTTGGCCCTAACAATTTCCTCCCATAGTAGTCTCCCCTGGTCCCTATCTAAGTTTGGGGGATGGTATATCACACCTAAAATAAATTTTTCATGGCCCTCTGAAAATTCTATCCAGACTCTGTATGTGTTGCTTCAGACTTAATACCCGTTTTTATGCAACAGTTCAAGCGATCTCGGACATACAATGCCACCCCACCCCCCCTTCCCGATATTTCTATCTACTTGGAACAATTTAAAACCCTGAATGTGACATTCTGCAGGCATGCCCCGACTTTTTGAATTAAACCACGTCTCAGTTATGGCAAATACATCAATGTTACTTGCACTAGCAACGTCTCAACTCGTCCATCTTATTCCTAGCACTACGACTATTTGTGTAATATATATTTAAGGACCCTCCTTTCTCTTTACCCTTCCTGCTCCTTTCTGTTATTCCACTAAACCTATCACTGTCCTTGTCAATTAGTGCCACTGGCTTTCTAATATCCACCTCATTTTGCATATTACTAGTTTTCCTAGTACTCATATTACTACACTGCGACTTCACTGTTTTCCTGCCAAAACCCATACCACTAACTATTCCTAGTTTAAAGACCTAACAGCTCCTTCCACTGCGTTGGCCAGTGCTCCCACCCCACACCTAGATAAGTGAACCCCATCCCTGGCATACATGTCATTTCTGCCATAGAAGAGGTCCCAGTTGTCAATGAATGTTACCGCATTTTCCTTACAGTATTTGTCCAGCCAGCAATTGACACCAATTGCCCTGGACAACCATTCGTTTCCAACTCCTCTCCATGGCAAAATACCACATATGACAGGGTTCCCACCCTTCTTCCTAATTATCTCTATTGCTGACCTATACCTGCTAATCAGGTCCTCACTCCTACATCTGCCAACATTGTTGCCTCCCGCACTGAGGCAGATAATAGGATTGCTCCCATTACCTTTCACGATGTCGTCCAGACAGCTAACAATATCCCCCATCCCAGCCCCAGGAAAACATACCCTGTGCCTCCTCTTCCTGTCCCTAAGACAAAAGGCCCTATCCATAAACTTAACCTGACTGTCTCCAACTACAACAATGTTCTTACCTTCATTTGTGGAATTTGTTGTGACGTTCTTTATGGTCTTCATTGGGGTATCAAGGGATGTCTCACTCATGTCTGCCAATGTTCCCTTGGTGCTTGTTGTGACGTTTCCGGTAGACAACCCACATTCGTCTGGTAACACCGAAAATGGGTTGGAAGTCTCTAGAGCAATCTTCTGGATCTTCGTTGTTTCCGCCACTCCAACAGACTTCCTGATTTTCAGTTTTGTTCCATGTTCGCCGGCCACTGACCAGGTTCCTCTCTTGACCTGAGGACTCACAACAGGAGGATTACTTCTAATCCTCTTGTTTTCCTCTGTCAGTCGCCGTATCTCAAGCTTAGCAACCCTAAGCTCCTCTTTCAGCTGCTGGTACAGTTGCTCAAGAGAGGACATCTTGTGCAGATTCACGGAGAACACACTGGACAGAACTTAACAGAGCTAAGTACACGTCACCAATGACCTTATTTTTTTGGAGGGGGATGGGGTTATTCTGAGTAATTTAGACTTGTGTTACTATGTAAGACAAGTCTAAATTACCTAAAACTTATGTAAGTGTACCCAAATGTACATAAGTTCACCCATAGTGGTATATTGATTCGTGGTGGTAGGAGGTACTCTTTCTTTCTTTTGATCAAATATAGTTGCTGCCTGTCCCACCTCAGGTGCTGTATGATATCTCCAGGTTTAGCGCACTTCCGTGACTGCAGTAATTGAAATATCAGGAAATAAATGTCATAGTGAAGGGATAGTGAGTCGTTCTTGTAGCATGACGTCAGAAACGGATTTCGCGAACAGATACTTCCTAGATTTTCCCATTATGTAGCTGTTTTGACTCGTGTGGGTTTAGCGCTTAGTTTTGACTGTAATAATAATTCTTATGTTATTTACATAATACTAAAGTGAAAGAAAGTCTAAAATCCAAGGGGTAGTGAGTCGTTCGTGTAGCGTTAAGGATAGTGATGGATGGTGAGTGACGTCACAAAGATGGATTATGGTCCAGTAGAGTCGGGTAGGACTAAGTAAGTAAGTAAGTAAAATAGGTACCTGGGTGTTAGTGGACTGGTGTGGGTCGCATCCTGGGACAAAACTGACCTAATCTGCGGGAAATGTTCAGCAAAACAATCAGCTTGATATATAGTAGTATGTTATTGATGTCAGCTAGGACTGTATACCTTGTGCATGTACTTGTAGAAATAAATATATTATTATTATTATTATTATTATTATTAGTAGTAGTAGTAGTAGTAGTAGTAGTATTAGTATACATACGAATAACCTAAAAAAAATATAAAATCTGAAGTGCAAATTCATTGATGGCTATTATAGCTACATCAAAACTACAACCTAATGAACTGTAAACCTAATTATTATACCTCCTGAATACAGTGATAATAATAAACATTGTAATAATAGACTTACTTACTTAATATAAGAGTATTAATGTGTTCGTGTAAGAGTGGTGACGTCACAGGTTGGATCCGGATTCCAGGTTGTTGGTTGACTGGTTCACACGTTACCTCGGCTTAACTAGACGTGTCATGTCCTGCTGACTGATAAAATCACTAATTTCACTCTCTGTCAGTAAGTCTCGGCTTCTTAGCTTTGTTTTAGTGGCGTGTGATACTTGATGGTGGTGGAGAGTAAGCCTGGAGGTGTATATAAGTGCAGTTTGTGGCTGTTAGAGGCTAGTGTTGTGTAATAATGGTGGTGCCGGTAGTGAGGCCCAGCTGGCCACTACCATTACTATCATTGATTCTCCTTTTATTGCAGTTATTAAGTGTTTGAATGGGGGCCGCTTTGCCTCGGGTGAGGGCTCTTCATCTGAGGAACTGAAGCTAATCTCTAGATGTTAACTTGAGTACGTGTTATTCTTTCCCCATACCATGTGTGGTCCTACAGGTTTAGCGCTTCCCCTGCAGAGCAGTGCATTTTTTACACTTTGAATGGGTTATCTTCAGGTTGGTGGAGGGCTCTTGATACAAGAAAAGTGAGCTGGGCATCCCCCTTAGAGCTAAACTTGTTATTTCTATCCTTTTTTTTTTTTTTGACTCGCATGGGTTTAGTGCTTCTCAGTTTTATTAGATCCATCTAAAGGGAGGGTAGTGAAGAGCTCTTGATGCAAGGGAATGGAGCTATCCTTTCCTCCAAGACTACCCTGATCATCTCATTCCACAGTCACTTATTTATTTATTTATTTATTTATTTCCAATTTGTGCACACATACAGAGGTACAAAAAAAATACAGATAACTTACAGATGACTTACATATGTAATGCTTTCCTATATAATAATAAAAATAATAATAATACAAATGATGATACTCTTCTCTTAATATCAGACAGTTTAGCAACATCTTCAATATTTTCCTACATGTGAATAATACTTTGTACATGTTGTTGCAACAATAGTCAACTGTTAACCTATTATAACACTATCCTCACCTCAATTATATTCTTGCTTACCATATTATATTTACTGATTATTACCAACTTGTTGAACCCACCTACATAATAATAATAGTAATAATAATAATAATAATAATAAAAATACTACTACTACTGCTGTTATACTACTACTACTGTACTACTACTACTGTACTACTACTACTACTGTACTACTACTACTACTGTACTACTACTACTACTGTACTACTACTATACTACTGAACTACTACTGTACTACTACTACTGTACTACTACTACTGTACTACTACTACTACTGTTACTACTACTACTACTGTACTATACTACTACTACTGTACTACTACTACTACTACTACTACTGTACTACTACTACTGTACTACTACTACTGTACTACTACTTCTATATTACTACTACTATACTACTACTATACTACTACTGTACTACTACTACTACTACTACTACTGTACTACTACTACTGTACTACTACTACTGCTGTTATACTACTACTACTGTACTACTACTACTACTGTACTACTACTACTACTACTACTACTGTACTACTACTACTGTACTACTACTACTGTACTACTACTTCTATATTACTACTACTATACTACTACTATACTACTACTGTACTACTACTACTATACTACTACTACTATACTACTACTGCACTACTACTTATATACTACTACTTCTATACTACTACTACTATACTACTACTACTGTACTACTACTACTGTACTACTACTACTATACTACTACTACTATACTACTACTATACTACTACTATATACTACTACTTCTATACTACTACTACTATACTACTACTACTGTACTACTACTACTATACTACTACTACTGTACTACTACTAGTATACTACTACTACTGTACTACTATACTACTACTGTACTACTATACTACTACTACTGTACTACTATACTACTACTACGTACCTATACTACTACTACTGTACTACTATACTACTACTACTCTACTGAACTACTACTATACTACTAACTGTACTACTACTACTACTACTACTACTGTACTATACTACTGTATACTACTATACTACTACTACTACTACCCTATACTCTAACCACTACTACTACTTGTAGATACTAGTACTACTACTACTACTAACTTATACTAACTATACTATTCTACATAACTACTACTAATTATAATATATACTACTACTAACTACTCTACTAACTACACTGAACTTCTACTTCTAACCACTACTACTACTACTACTACTAACTACTTGTACTTCTACTACCTACTGTACTTTACTAACATACTTACTACTACCTTTACTTCTACTACTCACTTATGTACTACTACTATATACTTCTACTTCTACAGTACTTCTCTACTACTTCTACTACACTCACTATACTTCTACTACTACTTTCTGTACATTCTACACTATTCTAACTACTTCACTACTAACCACACTTGTACTTCTACTACTGCTATTGTATTCTATACTGCATCTTATATCTGAAAATAGACATGTGTGCAACATCTGGGTATCTTTATTGTAGACGTTTTGCCAACCAGTGGTTTTATCAATACAAATTCTGGGACATGATTAGAAGACAGTAGAACTTGTTTGTGTTGTATACCGTTCATGTACAACTCGTCAGACTCTGCAACATCGTGGAATCTTGGTTCAGAGGACATCCACAGCTGCTACTACACTACGACTACTACTACTGGGACGATTACTACAACATACCACTACCACCACTAACCCATGCCTTGGGTATGACCTACTTCCACTTGGGATTCCTGCCCACCAGTGACTATGCCTTCCATCTTCCGCCAGTATAAAAGCAACAGCTTTCTTGCCTGTGGTCCAGAATCTTCATGACCATGGTGCTCTCAACACCAACTTCAAGGCCGAGGGACTGATTACCTCATCTTTTGTATATAGTTCTACTGTCGTCTAATCATGTCCTAGAATTTGTAATGATAAAAACCACTGCTTGGCGAAACGTCTACAATAAAGATACCCAGATGTTGCACATGTCTAATTTTTCAACTTGTCGGTATTGTATACCGTTCATGTACTACTTACACTTCTACTTATACTTCTACATACACTGTACTTCTACATATACTTCTACTTATACTTCTACTTATACTTCTACTTATACTTCTACTTATACTTCTACTTATACTTCTACTTATACTACTGCTACTGCTTTTACTAATACTACCATACTGCTGCTATTACTGTTACTACTACTACTGCTACTATTACTACTGCTATTACTGTTATTACTACTGTTACTATTATTACTGCTACTGCTATTATTACTGCTGCTACTGTTATTACTACTACTACTACTGTTACTATTACTGCTACTGTTCCTATTACTACTACTACTACTACTACTACTACTACTACTGTTTTCGAGTTCTTATAAAAGGTACAAACTATTTAGAAAGTCTCTAATTTTACAGATCATGTCAAACACACTAAAACTATTTTTTGTCAATAGTACTGTATTTAAAATAAAAAAAAAAGGATAAATAAGGTATGGATTGCCTGGAAGTTAATGTTGGTACATGTAAATATGTAGAAATAGTAGATGAACTGGAAGTCCGATTTGTCACAAGAGGTTACAATAAATAATATAGACATTAATTATTTACACTCATTCAAGTCATAAATCACATGAGGTTTAGTAGGTATTTTCTAACAAATATTTTAAAGCGGTTGACAGATGCAAAACCTATTTTCCTTCCTCAGGTAAACTCCAGCGAGTTCCATATTTTGGGGCTTTTTATTTGCATGAAGCTGTAAAATTAGGTTGAACATGTGGTATGTCATACTTGTTCCTTGTGTTGTGTCTGTGTGTCCTGTTGCAGCTCTCCAGGAAATCTGAACACAGCTCTAAAATCTAGTGTTGTGTAAGCATGGTATACACAGTAGTAAGTGTAAAAATTTTGGACATTGAGCAGATTTAAATTGTTGAATAGGGAAATAGGAGTAAGTGTTGTCTAGAGCCTGATTGAGTGATCATTCTCAGGCATTGGGAACGTCATTGTTGTTAATAGCAGAGAGCCTGTGACATTGCATTGTGGCATCCCTATTTTGATAGGTACCATACATATCTGAAATGTTGTTAATTGTCACATGTTTCCTCCTTCCCTGCAGGTAAGAATTAATGTATGTGAGTACAGGGCCCCTGACTCAATAATGTTCTAGTTTGAGCAGCAAGATGTGGTCTACTGTATCAAAAGTTTTTTTTTTTTTATGTCAGTAATGAGGTGCATTTGATATTTATTTTCTAGGGAGGAATAAATTGATCTAAGCATGTTAATTATAGCATCTTCGGCACTCTGCAAACATTGCAGTAGTACTGTGTATTTTTTTTTTTTTTTTTTTTTTTGAGGAACATGTCCTTGAGGAAGCTAACCCATAAAATTTTTATTATAACATGTACACTGTTATGATATTAAACTTTTGTACATGGGTTTGCAAGATTTAATGACTAATATTCTTATGTTTTTGTAAATTTTTTACTAGATAAAGGTAGCATGTTACCATAATTTACTGTTTGAGCATTGTGTTATACTGTACTGTGATGCAATCAGTTTCCCACAGGGGGAATTGAATGGTAGCTCTAGGCCTTTCATGTTGAAATCAACATTTCACGAGCTTGCATTGTTGCAGAAATGAGTAGGAAGTCCTGGTAGATGCGTTCAAGGAATGACTCTAGCTAGAACAATTCTAGCTAGGGTTGTTCCCTTGAACATTTCTACCTGGACTTCCTACTCATTTCTGCAACATTGCAAGCTCCTGATGACGTGTTGATTTCAACATGAAAGCCCTAGAGTTATCATATAATTCCTCCACGTGGTTGTTTTGCATCTTGTATCGCTTGTTCACAATTTTTGCATACTGTACTATATAATGTTATGCATCTCTGTGTTTAATATGGCTTTGAAATTTGAAGCGACAAAAATATTATTCCTTATCACTTCTGTTTCAGAGTGTGAATTTAAATGTTGTTTGTCTTTGTGTGCAGCAAGAAGTAGCCATGGAAGATGCACACACTTATTCTTATGAGGATGTCCTCACTCAGTTTGCTGTAGAGCCAGAGGTTGGTCTTACTGATGCCCAAGTGAGAAACAGCCAGGAGAAATATGGCCCAAATGGTAACTTGTTCTTCTGTACATTTTCTCAGTTGTGATATAAATAGTTTAGAAAACCAACAAGTTGAAGGATGAGACACATGTGCAACACATAGGAATCTTTATTGAGGAATATTTTGTCAGCCAATAGCTTCTTCAGTCCAAAACATTGAATTGAAGAAGCCACTGGCTGGCAAAATGTTTCCTCAATAAAGATTCAAAAATGTTGCACAAGTTTCTTATTCTTCATTTTCTGAGTTAACTATATTGAAAATACATTGTTAATTTATATAAAATTTGTTTATAAATACTGTAAGTTCTAATTGGTGTGACAAAGTGTAGTTAACACTGATCATTGAGAGAGGAAATCCCACATTTTTGTCTCCTGCACCATTTCCTCCCTCACTATAAGTTCTTATTTAGTCCTTCACTTTCTCCCTGTAGATCTTTGTTATTAATGCTAGTCTTAGGCACATCGCCCCAGATATGTTGTGAGTGGTAAATTTTGCCCTAGACAAAAGAAAATGGGTTTGTTCAGTGGTTGTGCAAGTATAAAAAAAATCCTGCCCAGTGCAGTGCATGATGGGAAAAACACATCTCTGACCATGTGTATGGCTTTTATGGCTTTATTAGCTGTTTCTTGGTATCTGTGGATAGATTGGAAAACATAATACATATTGAAATAGAGATGATTTTGATCAGTTTCCGATGAAATACAAGTACTATGTAACTTGAAATAGGCCTCAAATTGGTGAAAATGTGGATTTTTGGTAATTTTCCTTAAGAAGGGTAGAGGCCGCTCGTACATTCCAGTCTGTTTTATACTTTTTTACTAAATGTTGATGCACAAGCTGTAATATTACAGTAAATTTTTATGGCTTCTTCTGGTAATATACTTCATGTAGAATCATCCCCAGTCATTTAAAGAATTTTTATGAAGTGCCTAAACATTTGCCAAATAGTTCTAATTACAGTGGGCCCCCGAGTTTCGTAATTAATCTGTTCCAGAGAGCCTGCCGAAAGTTGAAATTGCCGAATGGCGAAACCATTTTCCCCATAAGAAATTTTTTTTTTTTTTTTTTCAACAAGTCGGCCGTCTCCCACCGAGGCAGGGTGACCCAAAAAAAAGAAAGAAAATCCCCAAAAAGAAAATACTTTCATCATCATTCAACACTTTCACCACACTCACACATTATCACTGTTTTTGCAGAGGTGCTCAGAATACAACAGTCTAGAAGCATACACATATAAAGATACACAACATAAGAAATAATGGAAATAAAATTAATCCGTTCCAGACACCCAAAAATATTAATATAAAATATATTTTTTTCAAATTAAATAAAGATTTACATACTGAAAACAATGAGAAATCAAGTACATGCATATAAAAAATAATAGTAACATTACACTTACCTTTACTGAAGACTTCTGGGTGGATGGAAGATGGGAGGAGGGGATAGGAGGAAGGTGTACACTATTGTTTGGAAGGAGAATCTCCTTCCATTAGGACTTCAGGTATGAAGTCCTTATCTGGGGTTACTTCCCTTCTTTGTTTTTTAAAGACACTGGCACTGGGAACAACTTGAGAGTCACTGGAACCCTGTCACACAAAATATCTGCCCAGAGAGCTCTGTTTCTGGCGTTTCTTTAAGATTTGTCTGAAGTGGGACACAACACTGTCATTGTACATGTTGCCAATATGGCCTGCAACAGCTTTGTTAGGGTGAAGTTCATCCATAAATGTTTGCATTTCAGTCCACTTTGCACAAATGTCTTTAATCTTTGAAGAATGCACCTTCCTCCATCTCTCTTCCTCCTCCTCCTCTGCAGCAGTGTCCTGAGCTGTGATCTCTTGCTGATGCAGATGAAGCTCTTGCAGCTCTTCAGTGGTTAGCTCTTCCCCATGGTCCTCTACCAACTCTTCCACATCCTCACCACTCCCCTCCAACCCCAGGGACATCCCCAATGCCACAATAGATTCCACAACTGGCATAGGCTCCTTAGGGTCAGCCCCAAACCCTTCAAAATCCCTCTCTTCTACACATTCTGGCCACAATTTTCTCCAAGCAGATTTCAAAGTCCTGCAAGTCACTCCCAAACCTTACCTATAAGGTTTATGCAGCCGAGGATACTGAAGTGATCTTTCCAGAACTCTCTTAGGGTCAATTCTGTGTCTGAGGTCACTTCTAAGCACCTTTGAAACACTGCTTTTGTGTAGAGTTTTTTGAAGTTTGAAATGACCTGCTGGTCCATGGGCTGGAGGAGAGAAGTTGTATTAGGGGGCAAGAACTTCACCGTGATGAAACTAAACTCCTCCACTATTTGCTCTTCCAAGTCTGGAGGATGAACAAGAGCATTGTCCATTACCAGGAGGCACTTGAGTGAGTTTATTTTCCAGGAGGTATTTCTTCACACTGGGGCCAAACACTTCATTCAACCAGTCTAGGAAAATATCCCTTGTGACCCATACCTTACTGTTAGCCTTCCACATCACACACAAATTACTCTTGGCAACACTTGTTCTTGAACACTCTGGGATTTTCAGAGTGATACACCAGTAAAGGCTTCACTTCAAAATCCCCACTAGCATTACTACAAAACATGAGAGTAAGCCTATCCTTCATAGGCTTGTGTCCTGGGAGTGCTGTTTCCTCCTGTGTGATGTAGGTCCTCTTTGGCATTTTCTTCTAAAAGAGGCCTGTTTTGTCACTAAACACTTGTTGGGGTTTGAATTCTCCAGCGTCTACGCACTCCTTAAACTCCTGTACAAACTTCTCAGCTGCAGTTTTGTCAGAACTAGCAGCCTCACCATGCCTTATCACACTGTGAATGCCACTATGCTTCTTAAATCTCTCAAACCAACCTTTGCCGGCCTTAAAATCACAAGCATCACCACTTGTTGCAGGCATTTTGTTTACGAGATCGTCATGCAACTGCCTTGCCTTTTCACATATTATCGACTGCGTAACACTATCTCCTGCTAACTATTTTTCGGTAATCCACACCAACAATGGCCTCTCCACTTCTTCGAGGATTTGTAATCTCCTTTTTGTCAGCATATCTACCCCTTTTGCAACAACAGCACACTTTATTTTCTTTCCTTTCGCCACGATCGAAGTGGTGGTAGAATGGGGTTTGCCATACATCCTGGCAAGCTCTATAACACACACTCCACTCTCATATTTTTCAATGATTTCCTTCTTGAATTCGATCATGTTCCTCACTTTCTTTACCAAAGGGCTTGCACTAGCTTTCCTTGGGCCCATGGTGACTTATTTAGCAGTCGCAATCACAAAAAACAATGGATTATTACGTATGAACCCGCGGGGTGATGGTCACGTGTTGGTAAACAATGGCACACTGAGCATGAATGGCGTGGGAGCCTGGCTTTATGTGCGCGGTGATGGGTGGACGGGCACCGGACGGTCGCTGAATCCTGAGTCTAATCACGAAACGCGAGGCCAAATTTTGCCGAAAAAACTTGCCGAAAGTCGGATTTCACGAATGTCGATGCCGCCGAAACTCGAGGGTCCACTGTATTTATTTTCATATCACTTAAGGATTTTACTATAGTTGTAATTTACATACAGGGAAAATGGACATATAAATACGTTATGTATTGTATAATCTGTTTAGTCAAAAAACTAATGGCACGTATATTATTATTATTATTTTTGGGACAAATAATTATTATAAATATTTATTATTTTTGAAGTATGGTATAATATGTGTACAGTACTATACTATTTCACTTTAGTTGATATATAAATTTTAATTTTACTGTACTGCATTTGTTTTTACATGTATGTATGCACAGTATAAGCATACCTCACTAATACGGTACTTTTCAGTTGTTTTCATATTTATTATTTTGGCAGTGACACTCAGCTTACTTGCACAATTTTTTATTTTTATATTATTTTTACTTTTAGTACATTGTTTTTTAGACCTATCACATTTGCACATTTAATAAATGATAGTGTAAACATGTTTTTAGGCTTTTATATGCACTGGCAAGTAAACAAAAGGCTGTGATTCACTGCGTGGCAGTGGTCTGGAACCTAATCTGACGTATTAGCGAGGTATATATGAATGTAATTATGCCTGCACTTTACCCTTTGACTGTTTTGGTCGCATATATACGTCTTACGAGCCACCGTTTTTGACATATATATGTACTTGTAAATTCTAGCAGCCTCAAATCAAGCAGGAAAAAGCTGGTAGGCCCACATGTGAGAGAATGGGTCTGTGTGGTCAGTGTGCACCATATAAAAAAAAATCCTGCAGCATGCAGTGCATAATGAGAAAAAAACTCCGTCCGTTTTCTTTTTAATTAAAATGCTGACTTCGTGGTCTATTTTCGTATAATATTTATGGTTATATTCTTGTTTTCTTGGTCTCACTTGATAGAATGGAAAACATGTTATAGAAATAGAGGTGATTTTGATTGGTTTTTACTATGAAAAGAACCTTGAAATGGAGCTCAAATTAGGGGAAATGTTTGATTTTTGCCAATGTTCAAAAGTAAACAAATGATGTCATTTTCCAATAAATGTCCAAGTAGCCATTCTAATATGCAGTCATGAATGGGTTGACATTATTTATACAATTATTGCAATATTGCAGTAGTCTGCATAACAGTGAATCTTCTATTTTTTGTTTGAATAAAAATTCAAAATAGACAGCAAGAGTAATATCAGAGGGGCCTGGAGACATGACTGATGAACAAAGAAAATGTTATTTTAGAGCCAGGAATGTCTGCATTGTTCATTCTGGACCCTATTTTGAAATTGTCATATTTAATTTTCGTGAAATTGGCCAAATTGCAAATTTCTGACCACGTTATTGGGTAGTTGAAATCGGTGAATGGGCAGCTTCTTGTACTCAGTCAATATAAAAAAATGGAGTTCTAAAGAAATAGCTATGAGTTTGGTCGACTGGAACAATGGAATTAGCCAAAAATAGAGCTCAAAGTGGGCGAAATCGCCGATTCGTAAATATCACCGAGGTCGTTAACTTCACGAGAACGTAATTCCATCAGTTGTCCATCAAATTTCATTCTTTTGGTGTCATTACAATCAGGAAAAGATTCTCTATTATTTCATAAGAAAATTTTTTTTTATTTTTTTGGAAATTTTGTGACGCCAGGAGACACCTCAGGATTTGGGGTTGCGACAGTCAAGGGGTTAAAGGAGGGGTTTGGGATATTGGCAGTTTGGAGGGCTTTGTTGTGTATCTTTATACATATATGCTTCTAAACTGTTGCGTTCTGAGCACCTCTGCAAAAACAGTGATTATGTGTGAGTGAGGTGAAAGTGTTGAATGATGATGAAAGTATTTTCTTTTTGGGGATTTTCTTTCTTTTTGGGTCACCTTGCCTCGGTGGGGGACTTGTTAAAAAAAAAAAAAAAAAATTACACCAAATTCATTGATAGCTAAGGTTAGTCAAACTTTTTGTTACTGTACTATATTTTTTGGTGGTGTTTTTGTCTGGCAACCAAATGGTTGACTGTTCATGTACATGAACTGGAAAAGCATAAACATGATTCATGATGAGAGAAAAATTAGTTAAGAGTGTAATCATTACAGTATTTATATTAATTTTGTTAAATTTTTGTTTCTTCTTTGTGTAGAACTACCAGCAGAAGAGGGCAAGTCCCTCCTTGAGTTGATCCTGGAGCAGTTTGATGATCTACTTGTTAAAATTTTGTTAATGGCTGCAATCATATCATTTGTAAGTATTGTATTCATTTAGTACTTAAGTGTATTTTCTTTGTGTTATCAAGGCGGTGAATTTTATCATATACATACATACATTAGAAACCCAATTAATGCGTGGGTACTGTCCTGGAAATCATTGCTGTAACAGAAGTAGTGTTAACTGAAGAAAATAGGGCTACATTTCTGAGACCTCCAAAAATACCAACTTAGTTTTCTTAAATTTCGTAAATCATCAGACATAATAGTTTGTCTTGCTGTACATTAAATAACAAAAAAAGGCACAATACCGTGACTGGAATGATACACAAATAACCCACACATAGAAGAGAGGAGCTTACGGCGACGTTTCGGTCTGACTTGGACCATTTACAAAGTCACACTAACCAGAAGTGGAGGAGGATGGCTATATATAGGCAGGAAGAGGTGGTGGTGGTGGTAGTAGTGGTGGTAGTAGTAGTGGTGGTAGTGGGGAATTAAAGAGGAGGAGCCAGTCAAATACAAAGAAAGGGGAGCACTGCAAGGGAGCTAGGTGCCCACAGAGGGAGAGCAAGTGCACAGAGGTGGGGGGAAGGGGAAGTGAAGAAATAAATAATGAAGGAACAGAAACACGCAACAGAAGAAAGACAAAAAAAGAAAGAGGAAAGGGGAAAAGGGAGAAGAAGAAAAATAAGGAATCAGGTTAAGTCATGGATGTTCTGAAGTTTGGAGCATTTTACAATGTAGTGGGAGAGGAAGGCATCTACAGAGATGAAGCCAGGACTAAGATTCATACAAGGAAAGCTGTGTATTAGAGAGGATTCAACTAGACGGCGACTGTTAGAGTTGGAAGTAGGGAAGACAGTTTTAGCGGAAGACCAGTCAATAGGATGGCTGTGATCTCTGACGTGACAGAACAGAGCATTGTTAGTGTCGGCAAGCCTAACACTATTTTTGTACTCCCTAAGTCTGTCAGAAAGAGATTGGCCAGTTTCTCCAAAGTATTGAAGAGAACAGGAGGAGCAAGAAATAGAGTAGACACCAGGAGCATCTGTAGAGGGAGGAGAGGTATGAACGAGATTAGTGCGAAGAGTGTTAGTTTTGTACTACTACTATATATACTACTACTACTACTACTACATACTATACTACTAAACTATACTACTACTACTACTATACACTACTACTACTATACTACTATACTACTACTACTTACTACTAACTACTACTACTACTACTACTACTACTACTACTACTACTACTACTACTACTACTACTACTACTACTACTACTACTACTACTACTACTACTACTACTACTACTACTACTACTACTACTACTACTACTACTACTATACTACTACTACTACTACTACTACTACTACTACTACTACTACTTACTACTACATACTACTACTACTACTACTACTACTACTACTACTACTACTACTACTACTACTACTACTACTATACTACTTACTACTACTACTACATACTACTACTACTACTACTACTACTACTACTACTACTACTACTACTACTACTACTATACTAACTACTACTACTACTACTACTACTACTACTACTACTACTACTACTACTACTACTACTACTACTACTACTACTACTACTACAGCCAGCAGTAACATCCTGGTTGATCAGGCTCTGATCCACCAGGAGGTCTGGTCACAGAACGGGCCGTGGGGGCGTTGACCCCCAGAACTCTCTCCAAGTAAACTACTACTACCACTACCTCATCCTGCTCCACTTCTGGTTAGTGTGACTTTGTAAGTGGTCCAAGTCGGACCGAAACGTCGTTGTAAGCTCCTCTCTTCTATGTGCGGGTTATTTGTGTATTGCTGCACATTGTAATTGTCATTGCTGGGTTATCTGGAAATGTGTGGAGAGGTTATATACTGAAGCTAGAAGATGAGTTAAGAAGGCAGAGATGCAGTATAATGTGATCCTTTACTGTACATCCAACTAGGCCTAGTTGGATGTACAGTAGTTAGGTTTATAATAAAATACTGGCCTACTAGCAAGTTTTAGGTCAGTCCTCTTCCCTCCTGAACCATGCTTGAACTGGCATGTTTTCATGTCCCTTCCTTGGTATGCTCTAGGTTGTGTGGGAGTGTGTAGTTCTCAGGGGAGGGGGGGTGTTATGGGCAATGGAAACAACAGTAGCAGCCTGGTTGGACAGACCCTGATTCATGGCAAGGCCTGGTCACAGACCGGGCTGCAGGAGTGTTGACCCCTGAAACAGGTATACCATTCCTACTAATATACAACTGTTTTACTATACCTTTGTTTTCCTAAAAAAACAGGGAGCACTACAACAGGTCTATTGGCCCATGTTGGGCAGGTCCTTCTCAAACCTGACTGTATTTTTGTCCAACCTCACACTTTCTAAATAAAGGACTGCACTAAGCCTACTAGCCCATGCTAATACAGGTCCTACTCTATTACTAAACCATTGCTTTGCTTCAGGGAAGAGGGCCCTGCAGCAAACCTACTGACTCGTGCTATGCAGATCCTTCTCTTACCCATTCAAACATCTCTATTGCTAAACCAATGATTTTTGTAAATAAGAACAAGGGAGTAGTACAATACAGAACATAAGTATTTTTAACGTTTTCATCCTTTCATTATAACATTTTTTTTTACGTGAGCCATTTTGTTGCTGATCATCAGACTTATTCACATTTTTAGGCATAGACACTGTACCACCATTACATATTACAATTTTGCCTTGATGTATATTATAATCCCTATTTTCAGCATTTTCTTATGTATATAACAGTATCTGAAGATTGAAGTTTGAGTGCCAGTAAAGTATGCAAATTTTCTCATTGATACTGCATAAGAGTTTTCAGTGTTACTTTTGTCAGTAATGATAAAAGGTGAGAAGATATTCCTAAAACCAAGTTTAAAAGAAAGTTCTGCCAGGTAGTATACACATGTACACTATTAAATTCCACATGCAGTAAATAGATATTCTGATTTAGCTTTTTTTCTTCTCTTGCAGGTGTTAGCTTGCTTTGAAGAAGGCGAAGAAACCGTTACTGCATTTGTTGAACCCTTTGTTATTCTTCTCATCCTTATTGCTAATGCTATAGTTGGTGTATGGCAGGTGGGTATCTTTGTATTTCTCGTATCTCTAAAAGTATGTCTTGCTGTGGCAAGCATTACTGGCAATAGAAAATATGTTACAGTTGACATATAAATGAATGTTTTAAAATGTAATTTCTCTACCATCTTTGTTTGCAAAGAAAATTTGGTTGCATTCATATATACTATCTGTAAGTAAACTGTGTATTGTATAGAGATATTGAAATGTAGTGTTGCATAAGTTTTAACTTATGGAATGAACAAAGTTGCCAGAGGATCCAAAATGGGGACTGTATTAGAGTATAAGAAGGCTGATGCATTTGTGTGTGTCAAGAAGGGTATTTGATAACGGTGATGAAGAGTTTAGTGGCATTTGACATGTCATGTCTGAAATCTCTGTGATGTGGCATACAGAGAATAAGGAATGAAAAAGTTAGGCGTGGTGGTTTGGAAGGTACAGTATAATGTAGTATACACAGTGAGCAGAAGATGAGCTCTTTAGGTGATTTGGTTATTACAGTAAATAGAGCAAGATGGGTTAAGAGGGGTGTATAAATATGCTATAGGAGTTAACAAAGAAGGAGAGTATGAAAGGTATTGAGAGATAGGGATCAAAGCATCCAGCAATCATGTGCTATCTGAAATTTGATATTCTGTTGAAGTCAAAACTTGGTAACATCTGTGAATAGAGGCAACCAGTTAGCTAGACTGGAGTTTTGAAGGTGAAAATTACAGTGCCTGTGCTTTTCATGTCATGTTGGGAAGTTGAGTTTTGTGTCAAGCCTGGCCTTAAATATCTGCTCCTTTAGAAAGCTCTGAGGTACAGTAGTAAGGGATGGAGAATTAGTTTTCTTCTTTGGTTGGAAATGTTTGATGCATTAAAAACTTAAAAAAAAAAAAAATATTTTTTCACTTCAGGAACGCAATGCAGAGTCTGCCATCGAGGCCTTAAAGGAGTACGAACCAGAGATGGGAAAGGTGATACGTGCCGGCAAACTTGGTGTACAGAAGATACGTGCAAGGGAGATAGTGCCAGGAGATATTATTGAAGTATCTGGTGGGTTATTTTTTGCTTATCTTTGTAAACACTTTAAAAATTGTAAAAATGTTCTGGAATTTTGATGTTAAATATTTGACTAGCAGCACTGATATAAACAGTTATGTGAATATGAATTTGGGTTTTAACCCTTTGACTGTCGCAAGCCCCTTTCTGAAACTGTCATTCTATGTCAAAAAATTTTTTGAAAGAAAAAAAAAATTTCCTTTGAAATGATAGAGAATCTTTTCCCGATGGTAATGACACCAAAAGTACGAAATTTGATTGAAAACTTACGGAATTGCGCTCCCGCGAAGTTAGCAATCTTGGCGATACATACACATTGGCGATTTTGCCGACTTTGAGCCCTATTTTCGACCAATTCCATTGTTCTAGTCGACCAAACTCGTAGCTATTTCTTTAGAACTCCATTTTTTCTATCAATTGAGTACAAGAAACTACCCATTTACTGATTTCAACTACCCAATAAAGTGGTCAGAAATTGGCAATTTGGCCAATTTCACACAAATTAAAAAAGATGCCAATTTCATAATAGGGTCCAGAATAAACAATGCAGACATTCTTGGCACTAAAATAACATATCCTCTGTTCATTAGTCACGTCTCTAGGCCCCTCTTATATTACTCTTGCTTTCTATTTTGACTTTTTATTCAAACAAAAAAATAGAAGATTTACTGTTATGCAGACTACTGCATTATTGTAAAAATGGTATAATATCAGTGCACTAGTGAAAGAATATTAGACGCCCCAGTTGATGTGTATTGGATATGTGGTGTGATTTGCTTACTCTTGAACATTGGTAAAAATCAGACATTTCCGCTACATTGAGCTCAATTTCAAGGTTGTTTTCATCGTGAAACTAATCAAAATCATCTCTAGTTCTGTATTATGTTTTCCATTCTATTAAATGAGACCAAGAAAATGAGAATACAACCATAAATACTATTTGAAAATACACTTCAAAGTCGGCGTTGTAATCCAAAAACACGGTCAGTTTTTTTTCTCATTATGCACTGTGTGCTGGAGGATTTTTTTTATGCAGTTCACACTGACCACACAGACCCATTCTCTCACATGTGGGCCTACCAGCTTTCTCCTGCTTGATTTGATGCCACTAGAATTATTGAGTATATATATGTCTGAAACACTGGCTCGTAAGTCGTATATATGCAGCTGAAACAGTCATAGGGTTAAACATTGAAGGAAGGAAGAGGCTGGAGGCAGGGGCAGTGTGAATATTATATAGAGAGCTCAAAACTTGGAGGTTAGGTGTGGAGTTGGAGTTACCAAAAACTATAGTTCAGGAGACTGAAGAAGGTTTATCAAGGTGGTTTGGGCACTTAGAAATGATGAAGCAAAAATAGGTTGACTAGGGGGCTATATAAATCTGGGGTGGTAGAAAAGAGGGGTGTAGGGATCATCCCAAGAAGGAATGGATGGAGGAGTAAAGGAGACTTTGAGTGCTAGGGATTTGAACATCTAGCAGGCTTGTGTGAACATGTTAGATTGGAGTATTGTTGGGTTATGAGAAAGCTAACATGAAGGGATTTGTGGAAACTGAGTCCTGGAGGTGGGAATATAGTGCCTGCACTCTTTGGAGGGCCATTTAAACTGTGATGTCATCATGCTTAGGGCAAGGCAGTGAATCAGTGACAGTATACAAACATTGCCATTTTTATATTACAGTTGGTGACAAGATTCCTGCTGATATGCGATTGATTAAGATATATTCCACTACCTTACGTATTGATCAGTCCATCTTGACTGGAGAGTCCGTGTCTGTCCTTAAACATACTGATATTGTTCCTGATACTAAGGCAGTCAACCAGGTGAGTTTTTGTAATTTCTTGCTTTATAGTAGTGAAAAATGTAATGATATTTTTATATTACAAAAAATTATTGTTAATTCACTGCATATACAGATGAAAGGAATCACTGTCTGATGATTCTGGAAGATGGTTATTGAGTGGATCACTAATTATTATCTATGATCTAGTAGGGATGTTGAGTGCAATATATATATTTTTAATGAAATTTCCAAATAAGAATGAATTAGAAATGATAAGCTTTTAAAAGTGTTGGAGTAAGCCAGAATTATGTAGGAGCTCTACACAATTCTAACTTACTGAGACAAGTTTGGGCATATTGTTGATGAAGTCAAACTGGCTAAGGAGACATTGTCCTTGATGGCAGGTTTTCCTGTTAATATAATTTTGACAGAAACCAAAAAAATAGGAAATGAGCTACAATATCTTACAGTAGATAAAAGTTTGGTGATATACCTAAAATTCTTTTACTCGTACAATAGTTACAGTAAACCATTGTATCTTATATTTTTCAGTCATGTCTTTCTGAGCAGTTAATATTCATGACAATAGTGATCTCAAATGACTTGTTTATTTAGTGTGAATGCCTAAAAGTTATTTCTTTCAGGACAAGAAGAATATTCTTTTTTCTGGTACCAATGTTGCAGCGGGCAAGGCTCTAGGGATTGTTATTGGTACAGGACTTGGAACTGCCATAGGTAAGAATGGATACTGTGTCATCTAAAAATTTTCCACAAAACTTAGATAAATGTGGCTATAAATGAAGCATGAGGTTTTTCCTTCCACAGTAAAGGAAATGTTAGAATGTGATAGGTCATAATAATTTTTATTATTGCTTTTATTGTTGTTATTTTAAAAAACATTGGCCTGCTCCCACCTATGTAAGGCGATCCCGAAAAGGGGAAACACGTTCACTGTTGTTCATTCATTACTGTCTTGTCAGAAGCATGCTGACATGACAATTTAGAAGACCTTCCGACTGCAACATCTCCACCCCACCTTTAGAGGGCAGGTGGCACTATACTTCCCCACTCCAGGACTCACTATTTTTTATAGTCATCCTACCTTGGTGAGAAATAGCTGATGAGGACGTTGCAGTTTGGAAGGTCATTTGAATTGTGATGTCTGGTCTCTTCTGGCAAGACATCTACTGAATGAATGATGGTAAATGCTTCCTTATTTTTATGGTTGCCATACCTTGGTGGAAGATGATAGGTATGTTAATTGTACTATCAATATCTATAAAATTTCATAGTTTGTGTTTGTTACAGGTAAAATTCGTACTCAGATGGCAGAGACTGAGGATATCAAGACTCCTTTACAACAAAAGCTTGATGAGTTTGGTGAGCAGTTATCCAAAGTTATATCTGTCATCTGTGTTGCTGTCTGGGCTATCAACATTGGACATTTCAATGATCCTGTTCATGGTGGATCATGGATCAAGGGTGCTATTTATTACTTCAAGATTGCTGTGGCCCTGGCTGTTGCTGCCATTCCTGAAGGTCTCCCTGCTGTCATTACTACTTGTTTGGCTCTGGGTACTCGCCGTATGGCCAAGAAGAATGCCATTGTCAGATCTCTTCCCTCTGTTGAAACTCTAGGATGTACTTCTATCATCTGCTCAGATAAGACTGGTACACTCACCACCAACCAGATGTCTGTCTCTCGTATGTTCATTGTGGATAAAGTTGTTGGAAATGACTGTTCACTACTTGAATTTGAAATTAGTGGCTCTACTTATGAGCCTAATGGAGACTTATACCTGAATGGTGCTCGGGTAAGAGGCTCTGATTTTGTAGGGTTGGAGGAACTAGCTACTATATCCTGTATGTGCAATGACTCTTCTGTTGATTTCAATGAATTCAAGAATGTGTTTGAAAAAGTTGGTGAAGCAACTGAGACTGCCCTAATAGTTTTGTCAGAGAAGATCAATCCCTACTCCTTGTCTAAATTTGGTGTTGATCGCCGCTCAGCTGCTCTCATATGTAAGCATGATATGGAATCAAAATGGAAAAAAGAATTTACTCTAGAATTTTCAAGAGATCGCAAATCTATGTCATCCTACTGTGTTCCTACCAAGCCTACTCGCCTTGGAACAGGACCCAAAATGTTCTGCAAAGGAGCTCCTGAGGGAATACTTGATCGCTGTACCCATGTACGAGTTGGTAGTCAGAAATTCCCTCTTTCTGCTGGAGTAAAAGAGAAGATTTTAGCAGTCACCCGTGGTTATGGAGGAGGACGTGATACACTCCGCTGTTTAGCTCTAGCCACAATTGATAGTCCATTACCCTTTCATCAATTGGATCTTTCTGATTCCAGCAAGTTCCATGCTTACGAAGTTGATATGACCTTTGTTGGTGTGGTAGGCATGCTTGATCCACCTCGTAAAGAAGTTAGAGATGCTATTCGACGATGCCGTGCTGCTGGTATTCGTGTCATTGTTATTACAGGAGATAACAAAGCTACTGCTGAAGCTATTTGCCGCAGAATAGGAGTTTTTGGTGATAATGAGAATTTGACTGGTCTTTCATACTCTGGCCGGGAATTTGATGATCTCAGTATTGCACAGCAGAGAGCAGCCTGCATGAGAGCTAGACTTTTCTCTCGTGTGGAGCCCTTCCACAAGTCAAAGATTGTTGAATATCTTCAAGGAGAGAATGAGATCTCAGCTATGACTGGTGATGGTGTGAATGATGCTCCAGCTCTGAAGAAAGCTGAAATTGGCATTGCTATGGGTTCTGGAACAGCTGTGGCCAAGTCTGCCTCTGATATGGTACTTGCTGATGACAACTTTTCTACCATTGTGGCTGCAGTTGAAGAGGGCCGTGCAATTTACAACAACATGAAACAGTTCATCCGCTACCTGATCTCTTCTAACATAGGTGAAGTGGTATCTATCTTTTTAACTGCTGCTCTTGGCCTTCCAGAGGCTCTTATTCCTGTCCAACTCCTATGGGTCAACCTGGTGACTGATGGTCCTCCTGCTACTGCCCTAGGCTTCAACCCTCCAGATTTAGACATTATGGATAGACCTCCACGTAAGGGCGATGAGTCCCTTATATCTGGTTGGCTTTTCTTCAGGTATATGGCTATAGGTTTCTATGTAGGTTTTGCCACTGTTTTTGCTGCATCGTGGTGGTTTATGTATGACCCTACCGGACCTCAAATCACGTATTATCAGATGTCCCACCACCTTTCATGCTTAAGTGATCCAGAAAACTTTGAAGGATTGGACTGCAGCATATTTGGTCATCCAGCTCCTATGACGATGGCCCTGTCTGTACTGGTCACCATTGAGATGTTGAATGCTCTTAACAGGTAAACTGTTTTTATTTTTTAAATTGTTGCACATAATTGTTACTTGTACATTATTGTTATATAATTGTTACTTGTTATGAAAAAGAGGATAAATAAGTATACAACATATGATATAGCATGTAATGAAAGTAGTTTGTTAGATTATGTATTGGTGGATAAAAGGTTGATTGGTAGGCTTCAGAATGTACATGTTTATAGAGGGGCAACTGATATATTGGATCATTATTTAGCTGTAGCTACAGTTAGAGTAAGTGGTAGATGGGACAAAAGAAAAATGGCAACAAGAAGTAAGAGAGAGGTTAAAGTGTATAAACTAAGGGAGGAGGAAGCTAGGGTGAGATATAAGCAACCATTGGCAGGAAGGTGGGCTAGTGCAAGTATGAGTAGTGAGGAAGGGGGGGTTGAAGAGGGTTGGAATAGTTTTAAAAATGAAGTATTAGAATGTGGGGCAGAAGTTTGTGGCTATTTGAGGGTGGGTGCAGGGGGAAAGAGGAGTGATTGGTGGAATGATGAAGTAAAGGGTATGATAAAAGAGAGAAAGGTAGCTTATGAGAAGTTTTTACAAAACAGAAGTGTTATAAGAAGAGCAGAGTATATGAGAGTAAAAGAAAGGTGAAGAGAGTGGTGAAAGTGCAAAAGGAGAACAGTTGATGAAGTGGAAGTGGCACTGTCAAGAAATTTTGATGAAAATAAGAAAAGGAACAAATGGATTTGTCAGTTAAAAACAGAGCAGGGGAGTTAGTAGATGGGGAGATGGAGGTATTGGGTAGATGGTGGGAATATTTTGAGGAACTTTTAAATGTCAATAAAGAATGGGAGGCAGTAATTTCATGCACTGGTCAGGGAGGTATAACATCTTTTAGGAATGAAGAAAAGCAGGATGTGAGTGTGGGGGAGGTGAAAGGGGGTAAAGCAGCTGGAGCTGAGGGGATCATGACAGAAATGTTAAAATCTGGGGGAGATATAGTGTTGGAGTGGTTAGTATTTTTCTTTAATAAATGTATGAAAGAGGGGAAGGTACCTAGGGATTGGCAGAGAGCATGTATAGTTCCTTTATATAAAGGGAAGGGGGACAAAAGAGATTGCAAAAATTATAGGGGAATATTTTTACTGAGTATACCAGGAAAAGTGTAGGGTTATTATTGAAAGAATTGGAGGTAAGACGGAGAGTAGGATTTTGGATGAGCAAGGAGGCTTTAGAGTGGGTAGGGCATATGTAGATCAAGTGTTTACATTGTAGCATATATGTGAACAGTATTTAGATAAAAGTAGGTCTTAGACAGGGATGTGTAATGTCACCATGGTTGTTTAACCCTTAAACGGTCCAAACAGATCGACGTTCAAATTTGTAGTACTACAAAAGTAGATCTACTTTTTCTTACATATTTTCAAATATATAAAAAAAAAATGTAGATAAAAGTTTTTTACACGTTTTCAAATGTAAAACAAAAAAGAAGATTACATTTTTTTTACATTCAGATGTTGAAAAAACGTATATATACGTTTGGGCCATTTAACCCTTACATGGTCCAAACGTATATATACGTTTTTTCAACATCTGAAAGTATGTAAAAATATGTAGATCTTTTTTTTTTTGTTTTACATTTGAAAATGTGTAAAAAAAAATTTATCTACATTTTTTTTGTTATATTTGAAAATATGCAAAAAAAAAGTAGATCTACTTTTGTAGCACTACGAATTTGAACGTCGATCTGTTTGGACCGTTTAAGAGTTAAGGGTTAATATATTTATAGATGGAGTTGTAAAAGAAGTAAATGCTAAGGTGTTGGGGAGAGTGGTGAGATTAAATTATTGGGAATAAAATACAAAATGGGAGTTGACACAGTTACTTTCTGCTATGATACTGTGCTTATGGGAGATTCTAAAGAAAAGTTGCAAAGGTTAGTTGACGAGTTTGGGAGAGTGTGTAAAGGTAGAAAGTTGAAAATGAGCATAGATAAGAGTAAGGTGATGAGGGTATCAGATATTTAGATAAAGAAAAATTGGATATCACATTGGAGAGAGGGAGTATGGAAGAAGTGAATGTTTTCAGATATTTGGGAGTTGACGTGTCAGCGGAAGAGTTTATGAAGGATGAGGTTAACCATAGACTTGATGAGTGAAAAAAGGTGAATGGTGCATTGAGGTATGTGTGGAGACAAAAAAACATTATCTATGGAGGCAAAGAAGGGAATGTATAAAAGTATAGTGGTACCAACTCTCTTATATGGGTGTGAAGCTTGGGTTGTAAATACTGCAGTGAGGAAGCAGTTGGAGGCAGTGAAGATGTACTGCCTAAGGGCAAAGTGTGGTGTAAATATTATGCAGAAAATTTGGAGTGTGGAAATTAGGAGGTGTGGAGTTAATAAAAGTATTAGTCAAGAGGGCTGAAGAGGGTTTGTTGAGGTGGTTTGGTCATTTAGAGAGAATGGATCAAAGTAGAATGACATGGAAAGCATATAAATTTGTAGAGGAAGGAAGGCGGGTTAGGGGTCATCCTCAAAAAGGTTGGAGGGAGGGGGTAAAGGAGGTTTTGTGGGTGAGGGGCTTGGACTTCCAGCAAGCATGTGTGAGCGTGTTAGATAGGAGTGAATGGAGACAAATGGTTTTTGGGACCTGACAAGCTGTTGGAGTGTGAGCAGGATAATATTTAGTGAAGGGATTCAGGGAAACTGGATATTTTTATATAGCCAGACTTGAGTACTGGAAATGGGAAGTACAATGCCTGCACTTTAAAGGAGGGGTTTGGGATAGTGGCAGTTTGGAGGGATATGTTATATATCTTTATACACCTACCATCCGAATTACGACCTGCTCGACATACAACGACTCGACTTATGACCGTGTTTTTTATGCCAAATTTCTGGGAAATAAACAAGTGTTTGTGTTGTACACAGTGTTTATCCTAAACCTTACAGCATAAAATACAGTACTAACAACATAAAAAGTAAAGTAAAACATGAAATACCAAAATAAAACAATAAAATAAAGTCATTACAAAAATGTGATGTTGATATTCAGTAGTAAAGTTCGACTTACGTCCATTTCAACTTACGACCGGTTTCTTGGAACCGAACTCGGTCGTAAGTCGGATGGTAGGTGTATATGCTTCTAAATTGTTGTATCTGGGCACCTCTGCAAAAACAGTGATGATGTATGAGTGAGGTGAAAGTGTTGAATGATGATGAAAATATTTTCTTTTTGGGTCACCCTGCCTTGGTGGGAGATGGCCGACTTGTTGAAAAAAAAAATTGTTACTTAAAAATTAAGTAATGATTACAGAAGTAGTATTGAATTTTTACCCCTTAACTGTCCATACGTAGATCTATGTTCTCTTGCCTAACGCTCCAAATATTTTGAAAAAAAAAAAAATTGAAATGAAGAGGACTTTTTTTTACATTAAGTAATGTTAAAAAAAACATTTTAGAGTCAGTAATTACAGAGATATAAGGCTGCAAAGTCAGCACCTGTCGCTCATCTGATGCCAACATGAAGCACTGCCACTGGCAGATGTGTTGCCAATATACCTTTTTTCTCATTTTTTCTTTAATTCGTATAATTTTTGTTCTGATAATGACAATTTGTAGTAGTATTTGTGATTTCATAGTTAATCTTTGTTCTGACACTAATATTAGGTACTGAAATAGTACTCAAGTAGTCATAAACACCTGGTGGATGAATTTGGTAGGGTATGCAAAAGAAGAAAATTGAAAGTGAATACAGGAAAGAGTAAAGTCATGAGGATAACAAAAAGATTAGGTGATGAAAGATTGGATATCAGATTGGAGGGAGAGAGTATGGAGGAGGTGAATTTTTTTTTTTTTTTTTATTATCACACCGGCCGATTCCCACCAAGGCAGGGTGGCCCGAAAAAGAAAAACTTTCACCATCATTCACTCCATCACTGTCTTGCCAGAAGGGTGCTTTACACTACAGTTTTTAAACTGCAACATTAACACCCATCCTTCAGAGTGCAGGCACTGTACTTCCCATCTCCAGGACTCAAGTCCGGCCTGCCGGTTTCCCTGAATCCCTTCATAAATGTTACTTTGCTCACACTCCAACAGCACGTCAAGTATTAAAAACCATTTGTCTCCATTCACTCCTATCAAACACGCTCACGCATGCCTGCTGGAAGTCCAAGCCCCTCGCACACAAAACCTCCTTTACCCCCTCCCTCCAACCCTTCCTAGGCCGACCCCTACCCCGCCTTCCTTCCACTACAGACTGATACACTCTTGAAGTCATTCTGTTTCGCTCCATTCTCTCTACATGTCCGAACCACCTCAACAACCCTTCCTCAGCCCTCTGGACAACAGTTTTGGTAATCCCGCACCTCCTCCTAACTTCCAAACTACGAATTCTCTGCATTATATTCACACCACACATTGCCCTCAGACATGACATCTCCACTGCCTCCAGCCTTCTCCTCGCTGCAACATTCATCACCCACGCTTCACACCCATATAAGAGCGTTGGTAAAACTATACTCTCATACATTCCCCTCTTGCCTCCAAGGACAAAGTTCTTTGTCTCCACAGACTCCTAAGTGCACCACTCACTCTTTTTCCCTCATCAATTCTATGATTCACCTCATCTTTCATAGACCCATCCGCTGACACGTCCACTCCCAAATATCTGAATACGTTCACCTCCTCCATACTCTCTCCCTCCAATCTGATATTCAATCTTTCATCACCTAATCTTTTTGTTATCCTCATAACCTTACTCTTTCCTGTATTCACCTTTAATTTTCTTCTTTTGCACACCCTACCAAATTCATCCACCAATCTCTGCAACTTCTCTTCAGAATCTCCCAAGAGCACAGTGTCATCAGCAAAGAGCAGCTGTGACAACTCCCACTTTGTGTGTGATTCTTTATCTTTTAACTCCACGCCTCTTGCCAAGACCCTCGCATTTACTTCTCTTACAACCCCATCTATAAATATATTAAACAACCACGGTGACATCACACATCCTTGTCTAAGGCCTACTTTTAC